TGGGATTGCCCTGTTGCCAGAGAGATGGGAAAAAGTAGTAGAAAATGGAGGAAATTACTTTGATTAAGGTATTCATTCATCTTCCCTTCGAAACAATCAATTTTGGAGACGAAAAAACGGCAGGAATTAAGTTTAACACCTAATATATATATATATATATATATGTGTATATATGTCACATAGGTGGTACGTACTAGTCGGTAAAAATAATAAACAATGGAGAGAAGCAAGCGACAAGATCTATGTATTTAGTTTTATCGTGAAAAATATGCAAATTATCGCAGAAGCGAAACATTATAATTGCATTATTGTTCAACTTAATAAGTTTCGTGTCAAATCCTGTTGCTAATTGCGCAAACAAAAGTCATAGTAATAATCGTAAGTATCATTATTATTATAAGTAACAAGAAGTCACGTGGACCTGGTTTTTTTCCGTGAATGTACACATAAACATGTCGCGGATTATGGGATCTATATAAAAGCGAAGAACGTTTGCGCTGATCCAACTAGTGTATCTTTGAGCCTCAAAGCGAATCACGATGATTAAGCTATTCCTTATTACGTTGCTTTGCATGGCGATGGTAAGAAGTTAATAATAGCTCATATATAGTCTGTAAAACGAAGCAATGTGAATTACACATATTATTAATATTATTAAAAATGTGTTAATATAAATATTAGAAATTAAATATACGGACTCGCGTTTTAAAATAAAGATTAAAGTCTCAATTAAGATCGATATGAAAAAAGGATTTTAAAAAGAATCCGATTTCTGCCTAAAAAGATGTAAATAAGGAACAATATTTTTTGTAGATTTTAATCTCCTGAATACAATAGGATTATATTATTAAAAAGTTCGTAGTGTTTGAGGAACGCTTCGAAAACGGACATGATATATTTATCTAAATTTCAATATTCTTGCTTAATTTTTGAGATATTCCCAAATAAATATCATTAACTTTTTAATAATTTTAGCATATCTAGGAAGTGTTTTTACCCTAAATTATAATAATAAAGTTATTAAAAATTACGTGATACTTGAGGAACACCTCGAAAATTAAACAAGACTATTGAAATTTGAATAAATACTATATTTGTGTTCAATTTTCGAAGTGTTCCCTAAACGCTACAAACTACATAATAATTTCATCGTATTGAGGAGGTCAAAATCTACAAAAAACATTATTCTTTTTATTTACGTCTTTTTAGGAAATCGGCTCTTTTTAGAAACTTCCTCCTTTCAAATTACATATAAAATAGATCATGTATCAATAAATACTTAAAAAGTTTTTATCATTTATCTTTTCTAATATAATGAGAAAAATGAAGAGAAGGAAAACACATAGGGATAAATTATTACATACTACGACAAAAATCAATTTTTTTCCTGCCATGAAAAAATCAAGGAGATTCTGAAAGTAGATGTAAAAAAAAATTGACGTTTTTGCATGTGAATGTTTTGTATTCGAACTCATCGCATAACTTCACATGCAAAAACGTCAATTATCCATTTTAAAAAATTATTATATAATTTAAAACAATTGTAAAAAGCCAATATGAAGCAAATACGATAAATGGCTGCATAAAAACGTTAACGACTTGATCTGGTAAAACACCAAGACACGGGTATTTTTTTTTAAATCTACTTTCAGAATCTCTTTGATTTTTTCATGGGAGGGAATGTGTGTTGTACTGTGTTATTGAAAGCAGAAGGCAAATATAAATAACATATTTCTGTAATAATGTTTTTGCAAATGATTTTTGGAAAACACATTTTTCAAAGCACTCAATTTATTTCGCGAAATAATACCGATTATTTAGAGTTACATAATTATAGCATTATTAATATTTCGTTATTAATATCGCTTAATATGATTATATTTATAACAAAACATTCAACTGCCTTTTCAGTTCGTTGATTCCCAAGAAGACCAAATGAATGAAGTGAGTACAACTGAATGTTTTGTAATTTCTCACGGAATTATACCAGGAAAATTTAACAAGTTTTTCAATTTACATTTTGCATATGAATATGAATAATTTTTTCGTACTCTCGTCAGATAGTTTTCGCGATAAGATAATTTTTATTTAAAGATGGGAACAGGACGGAAAGCAAGCGCTGATATAGCTAGACATGCTATGATGGGTCAAGGTAGTCCTTTATTAATGCAATATGCAGCACGAAATAGAGGACTACAGGGAAGAGGACTACAGGGAGGATCACAGGGAGGACCACAGAGAGATGGACCAGCGGGAGGAGGACCACCGCGAGGAGGACCACCGCGAGGACCACCACCGGAAGGATCACAGGAAAATGGATCACAGGGAGAATGAGATCAGGGTTAGGTTGGGGGTCGGGGACAGTGACAGGGAGGGGGAGGAAACATACCAGGACCGAATAATCAAAGGCAAGTGGAGAAAAATAGATTCTGGTAAACATTTTTCAAATTAAGAATCACAATCCTTTGATGGATTCATCAATAATATTTAATTTAATTTTATAGAGATAATATTTTAATTTCGTTGATGATAATTAATCGTGTAAAACGTCAACACATAACGCGATTTATTCCATATAAAATAAATAACAAAAAAATATCTACTATTTTTAGTTTTAATTAAAATTTTTACGTTATTTTTAAATTAGGGGTGTGCGAATTAGTTTGAATTCGAATCGAATCAAATCACAGTGGATTCGATTCGATTCGTTTCTGGATCTGAAAGATTCGAAACCGATAAGTTCGAAATTTCGAATCATCACACAATGGTTCGATTTTGAATCACTCGCCTCTTGCTCTCTCTCTTCCCTGTATCTCCTGTTACCAATCTTTGTATCAGCACATATCAATCTTCGTGCATGCGCGTGCGCATCGCGTCAGTTGAACTCTATTAGATATTTTCACCTTTCTGATATGACTACGTAGTCTATAGCCGTGTTTCGATATACACCAAGTACATAGAGAATGGACTGCGCGATCCGTGTGTCAAAATGGTCGATAAAAGTAAGAGAGAGGGATCACAGAAGACTGCCATTTATATCTCTTTTCATTCAATGGTGTAATGGGAGAGAGAATGAGAGGGAGATCAGCCGTCCACGGTCCCTCTCTTTCATTATTGTCGACTCATTTTCAACATACAGATATTATCAAAAAATATTGTTTTTGATACATTTATAACATATTATTAATTTTATAACTTCTTACACTTGTACATTCAAAATAAATTTTTTTAGCTTTTAATTGTTTTTAGCTGATGTCAGTATGTAAAAATTTGATTTGATTCGATTCGTTTTTGAATCAAAAGGATTCGATTCAATTCGGCGTAAAGATTTCAGATTTGATTCGATTCATTTTTGTTATTATAGATTCGATTCGATTTGATTCGATTCTATGCAAATGCTTGATTCGCACACCTCTAATTTAAATTTAATAACATATAGAAATATAAGGATAAGAATAACAAGAATTTAAAGAGTTAAATCGACTTTACATGACTTATAAATCATATATAGAATTATTATTTAGACTAGAATTAGCAAAGCAAACAAAATAATTGATTTGTAATCTTTATCAAATTCATAATGGTACATTTTCTAAAATTCTTTGTTACTTTTGTTGGAATATGTAAATTATTAAATTGGTCACACACACACACACACAATGCACTTCCCTTTATTCTTTAAAAAAGCATATAGTATAATTATATACAGATATTACCTAATTCTCGATAATTCTAATACAAAAAATGTGCGTGACACGAGGATTAACTTTGTATATTTATTTCCCAGGTCTCTGCTGGTACATGTCGTCATAAAATACAGATAAAGGTTCGGCTGAAGTTTAACATTCCCTCAGCACTATAGATATTACTTTAAATTCGCACCGCTAAAAAAAACCCTGATAATTTTACAATAATAAAGTTTGTCACTGCAGTAGATTTTTCATTATTATTTAAACCGTTTCTCCGTTTGTATTTATATTTCCTTATTTCCTCATATTTATTTCTCCTAAACAAAAACGATTCTTTTTTATTTTTTATATAAGCTATTTATAGGGCAAATACAGATCCTAATTATCTTGTCCATTTTACAGTCGATAGTATACATTATTAAACGTCACGAGAAAAGTAAAGGCCCTGGCATATAATGACTAAGACTTAAGTAGTAAGGGCTGGTTTCGCTAATGTCAATTAATTGGGATTAATTGTCAACCGTAATGGTCAATTCTACTAAATAGCAAATGCGATTGGTTAGTTAACGGCCGATTCAACATGTTGGATTCGCTACTGTTCACGTTATGGTCTTATGGTCTGTACTGTGATTGGTCGATTCACTTACTGCTTAAGTCTTACATCTTTAGTTTTTCTATGTGCCGCAGTCTTAACAGGTCGCAAGTGAAACGTATTTCAGATTGTAATAGGTCGCAGACCGCAATATATAGGACGCAAGATGCAGGACGCGAAAATTGAAGTTGATCCAACTTTCTGCGTTCTGCGTCCTACAATCATATTATAATTAAAATACGTTAGGTTAGGTTAGTTCCTAGTTTTACGACCTGCGACCCGTGTTCTGCGTCTTATGTAGAATGGGCTTTACGGAGTTGAGCCAACTTCAACTTTCTGCGACTGCGACAGGCATGAGCTCAGCCAATCACAGCACAGCAAGTTGACGTTTAGAATTTGTCATCGAATTGCGTGCAAACAATTGTTATGACTATTGTAGACGCTCATTTAGCGACACTCTTGCGGCATGCGACAAATTTTCCTGTGATGCTACTACTAGCAATATCCGACACAACCTGTGCGACTATTGTATTGTTGCGTCACAACGTCGCAAGTGTCGTAAGCGTCATGCGACTTTAAAATTGACGCATCGGATTGGGTGACACAACAAGATAACTTGCGACCTGCAACGCCTATGCGGTACGACCAATGCAGAACCGGTCTAATGGTCTTAGTGTGATATCTCAGTCATTTATAATATATGATGGCAATTTAATATAAAAAGTTGAATGCATCATAAAAAGTTCTTGTAAATTAGTTGATTTTTGTGTGATTGTTAATATTGGTCCTTTATCAATTACAAGACTTCAATCATTTTATTCAGAATCCTATACTTGCCACCTCTTGACTTTACCCCCTTTTTTTATTGTAACTTGTTTGATTTAAATAAAATTTTGGAAAAAGTGCTTCTATTATAAAAGAAATATTTTGGGTAAATATGTAGTTTAAGGGAGCCCCCCTCCCCCCAATGACCTTGACCTTGACGTATGTTGTCAAGGTCATGGTCCTGAGTGACCTTGAGGTCATGACCTTTACAACATATGTCGAGGTCAAGGTCATTAGGGGGGGGGGGCTCCCCTAAACTACATATTTATCATATTTTGCGATAATTTATCCATTGTGTCTTTCGTAATAAATAGATAAACAAAACGCAATGTCAACTTGCCTCTTTTGCTAGCAGCCCCGGTTTCTCCTACATAAATGTTTCGACCTTTTTATTTAATTATTTAGTATGTTTTTCACAGCATTTTAAAAATAAAACTCATCACGTAGGAAATAGGAAAACCAGGCCACAACGGTCTAAGCTGGGTCTTTTTAATGCTTAATTAATTTAAAGTGAATTGATATATATTATATCGTATGTGTACATACATATATATCATATTGTAGTGATTTGAACTATGCGCTGAAATTTTTCTGGACTTCAAATGCAGCTAAACTACCGAAATAATATCACAATTAAATTTTTGATGCTCAATATAGGCATCAATTAGAGATCTTAATATGATAGAAATCTCTCTGTAAATAACTTTATTTATTACGAAAAATATTACCTCGACCGGGAGTCGAACTTAGATCTCTTGCACTCCGTGCGAGCATTAAAAAAATGGTTACATTAAAATCGTTAAATAAATATAGAACCATAACTGTAGCAACGACACGATAAGAATATCAAGGTATTCCTAGCATTACCGAGATTTATACCGATGCTTGCTGTTAGTTTCCGACTTTTTCTTAATTGGCAGCGATTCTGACACTGAACCACACAGTCCCTAATTTGATATTCGCTCTATTGTACTTGCTTATACATATATGTATATTACTAAGGAATTATTTTAAGCGTCAAACTCTAGTTTCTAGATGTTACATTAATAGTTGATTATGAAAGAATTATATTTGACTTGTACGCACTCAGGCCTTAATTTCCAGTCTTGAGTTCGTTGATTTTTTTGTACAAGACAAATATGATTCTTCCATTGTTAACTATCAACGTAATATCTAGAAAATTAGAGTTTGACACTTGAGATAATTCGTAATTATATTCTATATTATATTCTAAATTTATTTAACGATTTTATAATCTATAATTGCATATTTCATTTTAGAGTCTTAATTAACAGGTCTATATCCTAATTACGTTCATCTAAAACGACGTTTTTTATTAGTTCTAGAATCTAGATTATCACAAATCTCAATGGAAAAAATTTTTTTTAAATAAAATGTCAGATTGTATAGAATCGAAATATCAAAACATAAAAAGATATTGATAATAATTGAGAAGTTATATCAAAAAATGTTAAAGAATAATTTGTAAAAAAAAGTGCAAAAATCAGTTTTTTTTAAATAATACCTTTATGATAAAAAGAGATACAAATAAAAATATTATTGTTTACAAATAAAAATAGTATTATTTTAAAATTGATATCTCCTTATTCCAAAAAGTGTAATTATTTGCATAAGTAAATTGGAGATATTTTTATATGTGTTCGGAAATACGGTATCAATATTTTCACGATTAAAAATAAAAAAATATTTCGAATATATTAAATACATAATAATTTCTTTCGATATTATTTACAATTTTATAGCGTCGAGAAAATAGATCATTTCGACAAGATGCCTCTCCCACAAAAATGCTATTTCTAAAAATAAACGTTTTAAATATATGTTTTAATTGTAGGAGCACATATACTTGAATATAACTAATAAACGGTCACTTACGGAAAATGAATTTTTATTTTTGGCAAAAATCTGTTGACGTTATATATGACGGGTCCAAGTCGCACTCAAGCCAAATTTTTATTGCATCACAATCAGCATCACAGTGACAATTAAACAGCCGCATCGCAACGATTGACGGAGGAAGGTTCCAAGTTTTTTACCCACTTACTTTAACTCTGCGATATTAACCGTACAAAAATAGAGACCAACTAAAATTTTCATCCGAGTCCAAATGACTCGTGTAGTTGAAGGTCAAATGTAACTATTTTTTGAATGTTGCAAAAAACATACTGAGGTTGACCAAATGAGAAAATCAAAACTTTTATGTATTTATATGAAGATTTGTTTAATAGATAACTTCCACAAAGACCTTGTTTATGCTTTTATGTTCCTATTTTTAATTTTAACTATTGTCATTGATACTGCTTATATCATACTTATCATTATAGTCACATTAAAATTGCAAGACCTTGGATTTTGTGTCACGAAATAATATTTACAGCCCATGCTCATTAAAAGTAAGATATCATCAAAACAAGGATAAAATAACAAAAAAATCGTAACACGTCTGAGGTTAATTAAAAAAAAATAGAAAAATATTCAACTTTATGAAAGTCATCTTTAGATATGATTTTCTAAAGATTTGAAATCATTAAAATAATTAAACACGCAATATATAACACGAACATTTTCGAAGTATATTATCAAGTTGCATTTATATATATACATATATATATATATATATATATATATATAAAACTGTCACATAGGTGGTACGTGCTAGTCGGTAAAAATAATAAACAATGAGGAAGCAAGCGACAAGATCTACGATCTAGTTTTATCGTGAAAAATATGCAAATTATCGCAGAAGGGAAACATTATAATTGCATTATTGTTCAACTTAATAAGTTTCGCATCAAATCCTGTCACTAATTGCGCAAACAAAAGTCACAGTAATAATCGGAAGTATCATTATTATTATGAGTAGCAAGGATACACGTGGACCTACTGCTTTTTTCAGTGAATAGACACATAAACATGTTACGGATTAGGGAATCTATATAAAAGCGAAGAACGTTTGCACTGATCCAACTAGTGTACGTTTGAGTTTCAAAGCGAATCACGATGATTAAGCTGTTCCTTATTACGTTGCTCTGCGTGGCGATGGTAAGAAGTTAATAATAGCTCATATATACTCTTAAAATGAAGCAATGTAAATTACACGTATTATTAATATTATTAATGAGTTAATATAAATATTATATATGTATAGAAATTAAATATACGAACTCGCGTTTTAAAATAAAGATTAAAGTCTCAATTAAGATCGATATGAAAAAAGGATGTGTTAAAAAGAATCCAATTTCTGCCAAAAGAGGTGTAATTAAGGAACAATATTTTTTGTACATTTTAATCTCCTGAATACGGTAGGATTACATTATTAAAAAGTTCATAGTATTTGAGGAACGCTTTAAAAATTGAATACGGAGACATGGTATATTTATCTAAATTTCAATATTCTTGCTTAATTTTTGAGATATTCCCTAATAAATATCATTAACTTTTTAATAATTTTAGCATATCTAGGAAGTGTTAAAATTTATTAAAAAATTATGTATTTCCTTTTATTTACATCTTTGTAAGCATTGAGCAGAAATTGTAGGATAATATCCTTTGTTATTCAGAGAATATTAAAAAAGGGCCAACTTTGAACCCTATATTATAATAATAAAGTTATTAAAAATTTCGTGACACTTGAGGAATACCTTGAAAATTAAACAAGTTACCTATTGAAATTTGGATAAATACTATATTTATGTTCAATTTTCGAAGTTCCCTAAACGCTACAAACTATATAATAATTTCATCGTATTCAGGAGGTCAAAATCTACAAAAAACATTATTCTTTTTATTTACACACTTTTAGGCAAAAATCGGCCCTTTTTAGAAACATCCTCCTTTCCCATACAAAATGGATCATATTTCAAGAAATACTTGAAAAGTTTTTATCGTATATCTTTTCTAATATAATGAGAAACATGAAGAGAAGGTAAACGCATAAGGATAAATTATTATCGAAAGCAGAAGACAAATATAAATAACATATTTTTTTAATGATGTTTTGCAAATAATTTTTGGAAAGCACATTTTTCGAAGCACTCGATTTATTTTGCGGAATATAATACCGATTATTTAGAGAGAGTTACATAATTATAGCATTACTAATATTTCGTTATTAATATCGCCTAATATGATCATATTTATAACAAAACATTCATCTGCCTTTTCAGTTCGCCGATTCCCAAGAAGACCAAATGAATGAAGTGAGTACGACTGTTTTCTAATTTCTTATGGAATTTTGTCAGAAAAATTTGACAGGTTTTTCAATTTACATTTTGCATATGAATATGAATAATTTTTTCGTACTCTCGTCAAACAGTTTTTCCAATGAGATAATTTTTATTTAAAGATGGGAACAGGACTAAGAGAAGCAAGCGCTGATATGGCTGGACATGCTATGAAGAGTCAAGGTAGTCCTTTATTAATGCAACATGCAGCAAATAGAGGAGGACAAGGAGGAGGACAAGGAGGAAGAGGACAAGGAAGAGGACGAGGAGGAAGAGGAAATGGAAGAGGAAGACAAAATGGAGGAGGAAATGAAGGAGGAAATGGAGGAGGAGATAAATGACAGAATTGAGAGCGGAAGCCGGAGATGGGAAGGGAAAGGAGGAGAAATTAGAATAATTAAGGGTAAGAGAGGAAAATTAGACTCTGATAGACATTTTTTTCAAATTAAGAATCACGATCCTTTGACGGATTCATTAATAATATTTAATTCAATTCTATAGATAATATTTTCATTTCGTTGATAGTAATTAATCGTACTTAATATTAATCGCGTAAAACGCCAACACATAATGCGATTTATTCTATATAAAATAAATAATAAGAAAATAACTACTAATTTTAGTTTTAATTAAAATTTTTACAATTTAAATTTGATAACATATAGAAATATAAATTTATATAGAAACATAAGGGTAAAAATAATAAGAATTTAAAGAATTAAATCGACTTTGAATGATTTATAAGTCATAAATATAATTTTTATTCGTACTAGAATTAGCAAAGCAGTCAAAATATTTCGTTTGTAACCTTTACCAAATTCATAATGGCATATTTTCTAAAATGTTTCGTTATTTTTATTGGAATGTGTAAATGATTAAATTTGTTAATGCACTTCTCTCCTCTATTTTTTAAAAAAGTATATAGTATAATTATATATAAATATTAATTCCCGATCATTCTAATATTAAAAAATAATGTGCATGTCACAAGGATTAATTTTGTATATTTATTTCGCAGATCTCTTCTGGATACACGTATGGTTATGAAATACAGATAAAAGTTCAGCTAGATCGGCTGAAGGTTAATTTTCTCTCAGCACTATAGGTATCACGTATTTTAAATCATTCGCACGGCTAAAAAAATCCTGATAATTATAGAATAATAAAGCTTGTCACTGCAGTAAATTTTTCATTGTTGTTTAAACCGATTCTCCATTTATATTTCCTTATTTCTCCGTACATATTTTCTAAATGAAAACGATTCTTTTTTATTTTTTATGCAAGCTATTTTTCGTCGATGATATACACTATCGAACATCGCGAGAAGAGGTCCTAGCACATGAAAATATTTAAGACGTAATGCCGGAAACACAATGAAAAGCACTGACAAGGAATAAACGATTTTAATCTATTCGAAAGCGTCCATTTTAGTATATTGTTTTTGATCGGTTGAAATTTGTTTCCTATTCGTATTGCCTATGTTTTTCATTGTATTTTCGGCTTAAAACTTAAGGCAATTCTACAATGTGCTCTTTGTTACCTGTGTCTTGCTTTTTACCTCTTGCTTTATCTTCTGTTGCAACCGTTTTACCGATTATTGTATTTCTTGCTGTGTGTTTTCTGTTTCTTCCAAGTTCGTTAACTTTTATTTCGGACGACATAAAACAAAAACCGGATAAGACGTAAAAAGACAAGATGTAAAAAATAGCAAAAAGCAGAAACAGAAAACAAAAAACACATTATAAAATAACCATTAAGCAGTATAAGGAAATCAACACGTTGGATTCGATTACTGTTCAAGTCTAACCATGTTAAGTTTTTCTATATATCATAGCCTTAATTCGTGCACTTGTTTGACATAAATTCTCGTTAAAATAACGTGCAACAATTTGCTTTAATTGTCGCGTAATCTCGCCGAATTCACGCGATTTATTCACTTTATATGTTGCGATATCAATTTTTTTGATAATTCGTCATAATTTGACATCGCTCCTCTTTCTCTTTTTCTCATGAATAAATTAATTTATTTAAGTGTATATAATAGAACATTGAAAGTATGCCTTGAAAATACTACAGATTCACCGAAACTCATAATAATAGCTTGTTAATTAATTCTGTTAATAATGGTGATGATGTAGTTCAATAGGCATATAAAGTTGGCATCGCTGTTTTTTTTTTTTTTTTAGAAATTGACCGCTGGATGCGAGTTTAATCACTTGTGTTGCTCCATAAGCAAAAGACTTAGTAAGACTATTTTGCACAAAATCCTTTAAAAAATGTAACAAACTGATGTAATACTTAAGGTCATGTTACTGTCATTACAACATGAAATATTTCAGAAAATTTTCGAAATGCTAGATTCGAAATAATTCTGAAATATAAACTGTCTAGAATATCAGACTTTGGAATAATCTTTTTCTTACAATATATATTTCTTACAATATTTCTAAAATATTTTTGTAAAATATTTTAATGCAATATTTCAAAATTGTTTTAAAGTTTTAATGCAAAATTTGCAAATATTTACAAAAAAAATATTTCTAAAATATTTTACTGAAATACTTTAAAAAAATGATGTCATACTGTATGAATAGATAACTTCTTACATAATACCTCTGAAATTGCACTGGGGTGAAGTAGAACAGGTAATCGAACTCACTCTGTCGCGTAATAACCGTCACGGAAGTGTTGAGCGATGAGCGATAGACAAGCGTTTCATTTCCATCATTCTTCATTCGTTTTTCACGTTGTTTGTCTCGTCCCAAGTGTCCCACGTATGCGATCGTGCGGTGCAGATATCGGATATATGAATTAATCGAAGCGTATGACAGTAATTAGTCGATAAGCGATCGGCGTGCCGCGACTCACGACAGCACAAATATGACGCCTCGCCATTCGCCATAGGTATGAAGGTAGAGGCCTAGACCGCCTAGATCACAGAGATGCAACATTGAAAGGTGTGATCTGATTGGCTGTCTAAATCGCGAGTTCAGAGCGCCATTTTAATTCATTACTGCGTATAATTAGAGTCCTAGGACTCTACGGGTAGAGTAATAATGTATGTATATATAATGTATATACTATTAAGTACATACTGTAAGTACGTGCTATACTTTCTTCTTTTTCTAACAATTTAACTTTCCTCATGTAATGCATCAGCTTATAAAGGTGCCTTTTCATGCCGACGCTCGACGCTCATTTTCGGCGTCAAAATAAGTCACGTGATAGAAATTGGCGAATGTCAGACGTCAATTTTGATCTTGCGATTTATTTTGACGCTGAAAACAGCTGATAACGAGCGTCGAGCGTTAACATGAAAAGGCGTCTTATGATTATGAGTACTTACACTGCATTAAAATGGCGATGACGACCTAACCCAACCGACGCAAGTCGCATCTCTGGTATCGAGGCCTCTAGTGTGAAGTTATCTTCGCGTCTCTCGGATTTTTTTATGGCGTCCCGCACGAAGTCGGAAGTCGAATCGAGTTAACGGTTGAACACAAAGCATAGAAAATGGACCGCGCGATCTGTGTGTGAAAATGGTCGATAGGAATGAGAGAGAGGGACCGTGGCAGACGGCCATTTCTGTCTCTTTCCATTCAATGTGTAATGAGAGAGAGAACGAGAGGGAGATTGGCCGTCTCCCACGGTCCCTCTCTCTCTTTTTTCGGCCATATTTGATACAGTACTTAGATACGGATCGCGCAGTCCATTCTCTATGGCTTTGGGTGAGCCACGGTTTCGTCATCGCTCGTTGAAGGTCCATCGCGTGCACGATCGAATATCGGGAGTGATCGAATTAAGTACGGACATCACACGCGCAAACGCATACTGAGTCGAGTTAAGTAACGAGCGAACGTATTGTGGTTTTGTGTATCGCCATTTTCTCAAAGTGCGACGCGTCGCTTGTTCGGTGATTGAAATGCACCGCGAATGTATTAATCGGGAGTGAAACTATTCTGGTAGAAATGCATGTAGTTTTCTAGATACTTATCCAGTTATTGTCTAATTTTACTGTATTCTCAGTAGTTATAACAACAATATTGCACAGGAAATTGTCAAGAACTTGATAAGTTTTATTCGGTGACTGGGTAGCAATCATCAAATCATGTAACTTTTTCTCTAGAGTGGAAACATAAAAAGCGGACATTTTTATACATGCATGTACATTTATATACACATACAAACATTTTTACTTTTTGTATTTCCAGGTAAAGATACACGATTAATTTTCTGAAGCAGTTTTTCTGGTAAAAATACAATTTGCATACCTGCCCATTTATTGTCTATAGTATTAGTAGATTATTATTAATTAAAAATAAGTTAAAATATTAAATATCATTTTTTTAAATATTAATTTAAAAAATTAGTCACAAAAGATTAGTTAAATATCATTAGAATACTAGTAGTAAGAATTAGTCATAAAAATTAATTGAATACTAAAATAATAAATTTAGTAGTAAATATTAGTTTAAAAATGGTTACAATACTACGTAATTAATTTATTGGTCTGCTTTTTTTTTAGTGAATAGGTCCAGATTTTGGGAAATGGTGCATCTTTTGTGCGTAGTAACTGCAGACAAAGCATCTTGATTGAGCTCCTCTAAGTACTTTTACTTTTCAATGTGACTGGACAGAGTCAATATAATTATCCAATAACTACTAAAAAACCTTATGAAATTTCTACCAGAATACGAATCGATTGATTGTGTGTCTGTAACATTTTTCGTGATCGGTTTGTATTGTGTAAGTGCCTGAAGCAACAGTGGAGACCGACAGGAAGGCAAATAGGAGACACATTGGCTGGTAAGAAGATTCATTTATTATTATTTTATAATATTATATAATTTTAATTTATTTTCGAAATTTGTAATATTTATTTTTAATTATTTTAATATTTGAAACACTTAAAAATTAAGTATTTAAATTAAATTATTAATTTTAATAATTTTTATTTTCAATATTTTATAATGATCATAATATTGCAATAATGAATAATGAATGATAGAATTTATTACATCAAATTTAAGTAAACATTTTTAGCGCAACGTACATTAAAATGAAATTTTATAGAGAATTTTTTTTATACAAGACGTAAGCTCGCATTTCTAAAATATATTAATCAATTATCTTGAGAATTAACTTAAAGAAAAAAATCAATTACATTAATTGCAAATATAGTAAAAAATATTAGACATCTCTTTAATTAATATGTAACGTTTTTACTCAAAAATTTATTTGTGTTATTTGTTGTAAATTATCTTTTATTTAAAAAATCCTTTAAACTTATGCGTATAATGATCGAATAAGAAATAACAGTAGTGCTATTATCATAATAAAAAAGCTGCGCAACGATAACGAAACTTGCGTTAAGAGTTACAAAATAGAGGCCAGGTATTATAAGTAACAATACAGATTTTCAAATAAAGAGAATATATAGACTAATATTTTTGGCTGTATAATTTACGCTTGTATATAATATAATTCTAATTATTATGTATAGTTATAATATTATAAAATTATAATGTTATAATTTTAATATAATATAATATTATAATTATAATTCTAATATAATTCTCTGTATTTTTTACAGAACGACATCTCTCAACTGCTTCTGGAATGTTCAGTGAGTCTTATTTTTTAAATGAGATTTATAAGGAATATCTCTCAAATCAGCTAGTCACATATATTCTAACAAAAATTTTATGTTATCCTAACAAAATTTTGATTAGCATAACCAAATTTTGGTTAGGGCAACGAAAAACTTTTTGTTGGTTATATATCAACAAAACTTTTTTCTCAGTGTGGACAAATGTACATATACTTTACAGCAACTTCACGTTTATCTTAGAATCATCCAATGCTTCATAGATGAGCCGATTGTGATTCGAAATATTGCAGCAACATTTAGTAAACGAATATCATAATGCAAACATGATATAAATATGAGACACTAAGAATCAGATTTTTGTTTCTCATATGTACATCATATTTGCATCATGTGGTATTTCGTTTTCTAATTTACTAAATACGACTACAATATTTGGAATCATAATCGGCTCACCCATGAAGCATTTGATGATCGAATACAACGTAAAGTTGCAGTAAAATTGATGTACATCTGTCTATCTGGGATGTGAGATGCTCCGCGTATCTGATGGCTGTTACATTCGCTTTGCTTGTTT